CCGATTGTTATGTTTATTCTAACGGTTCATTTTTCCTCACTGATCAGTGATCTGTCTGGTGAAAATGTGAGCTGCTAGCTGAGCTGAATGACCGGGAGTAAACGCATTTTAGCGTTAGTTGCATTGCAGCCGACGGGCGCAGAGTGATCTGTGACGTCACGAATCAGTAGTTCTCCCGCTGCCCATAGATGACGCTAGTGTAGTCTACGCATCCCGCCCATAGATGGCGCTGATACATGTTGCCACTTCTCGCGGCCGGAGCAGCCTACCTTTCTATAGAGCCTTGCGTGGACCCGAGTGGAGCTTGATTGCAGTCTCCACCAGCCTCTGCACGTGCTGGACCGTTGCAGCATCGGCGTTGCCGTGCATGCCGTCAAGATGGACAATCACTTGGTGTTGGAAGGACACCACGAATAGTGCCCAGTGATTTCCATGTCGATGATATGGCATCAGCCACACTTTCGCCTTGTGGGCGTTCGCGTCCTGCAGGCATAGTCGGATGGTTTTTGTCGCTCGGCCCGCGCCCATAGCTGTCAGCCAGTGGACAGTGAAACTGGCCGCGCCACCACATGACCGAGAGGCCGCAGACAAGCAGAAGCAGTCGATGACGTCATCTGTCAGCCATGTTCTTGGCTTGAGGCAGCGCCTCATTTCATCCTCAGTTGACATGACATGTGTGCTTTCATCAGCGGTCTGTGATGCTGTGAGACTTGTTTTCTGTTCAGTTGGAGCCGCATCATCGGCCTCGTGGGCTGTAGACGTTGTGGCTCCGCTATCCCACGATGTTGATGAGGTCATGGTCCTCGTTTTCGCTGTCCATAAACACGTCCGTCGGTGGACGTTCACGGGCATACCAGGTAGGTCTTTTTGAGCAGTCTCGTTTCTTCCACGTCTCTTCTTGTGTCTCTGAGGCTTGAAGTGGCTGCTCCTTCTCTCCCTGCTTCCTCTTCTTTCCTCTTGGAGCAGGTTTGGGAGGGATGCTGTCAGTTTTCATGCGGCTTGCCGTGTCCTTCATGATCATTCTCGCCAGGTCACCGGGGTGCAGTCGGGTACGGCCACGTAGGATCTGCTTCTTCAGCACGCGCATATAGCTTTCAACAGCTGCATTTGTAGTCACCGCCGTCGTGATCAGCTGACTCCACAATGGTGCCAGTGGCATGAGGGTGGACAGCATGTACTCCACCACACCCGGATAGAAGTATGCATTCTTCACCTCCTCTCCGGCTCCATGTTCCAGAGGTGCATGCTCCTTCACTTGCTGAAAATGCCTTCCATACGCGGTTCCTGTACGGTATGTGCTGTTCGGTTCAGGCATACTATGGTCATCGTACTCAGACACGTCTTCTGTAGGAGGGTGCAGTGCAAGCTTCACTTCTCCTTTTGAGCAGGCCAGCAAACAGAGCTGTTCAAACAGCTTGTCGAGCTCACTGAGGGAAGAAGCCTTTTGCATCCGGGAGAACATCCACATGAACGCTGCTGACGCCGTTTTTGTCACTTTTTGGGTTTTCAGAACGGAAGCAAAACCATGGGAGATGTGTGCTCCACATAGGCTCAGCTTTGACAGTGACGGATGGGCTCCATTCTTCTGATTATCCCAGCACTCTTGTAGATATGCTTTTAGCGTTTTCTTGCATACACCCTCCGATACAGCATGAAGAAGGGCCCAGCTGAAGTCTGTAACGATTCTTGGTGGGGTCCAGGACTTTCCTGTCACCTCCTTGAAGTGGCGGGCGACTTGAAGCAGAAAATGTTCAATGCTTGGAACCGTGTGCGTCTCGGACAGCATGTGGGCCACAGGATATGACCCGTTCGGGTGTTCGGCGATCACAACGACCAACGTACAGGTATGGGGTCTTCTCACCCATCTGTCTTGACACAGAGCCAGTGGCATCGATGTGGAGGGTGGTAGGGTTTGCGACATACTTCTTTAGAAAGTGCTCTCTATATAGCATCACCACCAGTGGGTATTTACCGATGAAGTGTATACCACCTGGAAGTTTTTTGCTGTTCATGTCCTCCGCCTTCGAGATCTCCATTGTCGACATCAAGTCCTCAGCCCAGTCAACAGAATGGCGCTCAGCTTTGCGCCGCTCATAGGCCGCCTGCCTCAGTACATATGTGCGCCGGTGGGGCCTCGGTCAGATTGCCGTCGGCCAGTTGCGCTCAGCTGGTGTCTTATCGATCATTTCCTGGCGAACGGTGTATGCGCCTTCTTTGTTTACCTGTTCTCCAATCACTGATCGACGTTTGCCTCTCAGATAACGATGTGAATGGAACGCGCTGTGGCTGGCATTTTCCTCCCCATACTTGCTGACCACAGCAGTTACATTTCCATCCACCGGTGCGTCTTGAATCTTGATTTCGAACTGGTGACAGCCGGGAAGCGTGCATTTGGCATGACACGTAAAAAACGGGGCACTTGTTTTCAGTGAGCCTTTCTTCTTTACGTGGCGGTATCTTGTCACCAGCACACACTTGGGGCCGTTGTTCGAGTGCCTGATGACACCGTAAAGAACATCAGTCCAGCCCTTTTTGAGTGTATGCCCCTCAAAAACACCAGAGCTATCAAACTTCAGGGAGAATGTTTTCTTCGAGCGGTCGGGATTGGTGTGCAGCGGCGAGGCGCTCCGGTCGGGATCGGTGTGAAGCGGCGAGGCGCTCCGGTCGGAATCGGTGTGAAGCGGCGAGGCGCTCCGGTCGGAATCGGTGTGAAGTGGCGAGGCGCTCCGGTCGGGATCGGTGTGAAGCGGCGAGGCGCTCCGGTCGGGATCGGTGTGAAGCGGCGAGGCGCTCCGGTCGGGGTCGGTGTGAAGCGGCGAGGCGCTCCGGTCGGAATCGGTGTGAAGCGGCGAGGCGCTCCGGTCGGAATCGGTGTGAAGCGGCGAGGCGCTCCGGTCGGAATCGGTGTGAAGCGGCGAGGCGCTCCGGTCGGGATCGGTGTGAAGCGGCGAGGCGCTCCGGTCAGAATCGGTGTGAAACGGCGAGGCGCTCCGGTCGGGATCGGTGTGAAGCGGCGAGGCGCTCCGGTCGGAATCGGTGTGCAGCGGCGAGGCGCTCCGGTCGGGATCGGTGTGAAGCGGCGAGGCGCTCCGGTCGGGGTCGGTGTGAAGCGGCGAGGCGCTCCGGTCGGAATCGGTGTGCAGCGGCGAGGCGCTCCGGTCGGGATCGGTGTGAAGCGGCGAGGCGCTCAGGTCGGGATCGGTGTGAAGCGGCGAGGCGCTCCGGTCGGAATCGGTGTGCAGCGGCGAGGCGCTCCGGTCGGGATCGGTGTGAAGCGGCGAGGCGCTCCGGTCGGAATCGGTGTGATGCGGCGAGGCGCTCCGGTCGGGATCGGTGTGAAGCGGCGAGGCGCTCCGGTCGGGATCGGTGTGAAGCGGCGAGGCGCTCCGGTCGGGATCGGTGTGAAGCGGCGAGGCGCTCCTCTGCCCGTCGCCAGACTTCGCAGATTCGCAGGACAGGATAATGTCTCTGAGGAGAGGACAATGACAACATATAAAGAAATGGATGAGGAAAAAATAAAACACAATAAGCGTGAGGAACAGAACAGGGTTGAACTGGTGGTTGAGGGACAGTGCAATGAGTAGACATGGGCAGAATGGCTATTGATTATATTAATGTAAACAGGTGTCACTATATGTGATAACTGACTCATCCCGGGAGTTGGGATAAGGTAATTACATCGCGTCGCGTCATCGTAAACGGCAAGTGCTCGGAGTGGTGCCGGGTTACCTCAGGCACCCCGGAAGGCGGCGTGATTTCCGCGCTTTGTTTCGCCCTTTTTATAATCGATCTCCCTAATGGGATCTCCTCTCGGGTGTTGCTATACGCTGACGATGCAAAGTTGCTTAGGAAGATTGCGTCTGCAAGCGACTCTGAGACTCTCCAAAGGGATTTAGACAAGCTCTGCCAGTGGTCTGAGGCATGGAAGCTCACACTTGGTGAGTTTGCATCTCTGACACAGGCTCGTCGGCTGACGCCGGTCATGTGGTCAGCTGGCCCCGGGCTACGCCGGGCTGGCCGGCGGCTCAGGGACTGTCTTGGTTGGGCTGTGACCGAGAGTGGTGTTCGTCTATGGTGAAGGTGCTGGGAATACATCATACATGGCGACAAGGATGAATTAGAAGACCAGGACGGCACCAGCTACCACGGTCCAAGGCAGGGAAGTAGCAAGTAACTGTTTAAGCAAGTAGCAAGTAAGTAAGCGAAATGGCACATGGCAAGCTGACAGCTTTCGAGCCAGCTGAGGAAACGTTTGAAAATTACTTACAGCGTTTCCAGTTTTATTGCTCAGCCAATGATGTACGAGCCGAGTCCAAGCAAAAGGCTTTGTTTTTAACGGTTGTGGGACAGGCAGTGTTTGGGAAGATCAAAGATTTGATTAGTCCGGTCACATTGGAGGAAGCTACCTTTGAGCTTATCAAAGAGAAGGTCAAAAATCATTATCAGCCACAGCTGGTAGAGATCGCAGAACGCTACAAGTTTTTCCAACGCAGACAGCGTGAAGAGGAAACAGTTGCAGAATACCTGGCTGATTTGAAAAAGATTGCCAGTAACGCTCAGTTTGGGGACTATTTAGACACGGCTCTAAGAGATCAGTTAGTGTGTGGCTTGTATGATAGTCGTTGTCAGAAGGAGCTGCTCTGCATGACGTCCTTGACTCTCGAAAAGGCTGTTCAACATGCCCGGGCATTTGAAGCTGTGTCAAAGGAGGCCGGGGTATTTTCAGCGTCCGGGGTACTTACATGAGATCCAGAAAGACAGACTGAAGGGGCCGGGGTTGAGCTGTTTCCGATGTGGTAGAGTGGGACATGATGCCGATGCCTGTTGGCATGTGAAAACTGTCTGCAACAAATGTCACAGAAGAGGTCATTTGGCCGTTGTATGTCCGAAACAGTCGAAAAACAGAGAAAATGGAAACTGGCAGTTTGCCAAGCGTGCTGATCGTAGAACAGGATTTCACAGGACGGCAGGAGAGAAAAAGTCCAGCAGTCACGCGGTAGAGGAGGTGCAGGAGACTGAGGGGCGACGACATCCGGAGCAGCAACCGCAGTCACCATCGGACTCGTCAGGTACCGAGGAGTTCGAAGTGCTGCACACGCACAAGGTTCGACGAGGTAAGCTGCTCACTTCTGTTCTTGTAAATGGGAAACCGGTGACTATGGAGCTAGATACCGGAGCAGAGATCACCACTCTGCCGCTACATGTGTTTGAAAAGGTGTTTCCCGACACTCACTTAGAGCCCACTCACAAGAGGCTCAGTCAGTATGACGGATCACTGCTTAAAATGATTGGTGAAATGCCAGTTACCGTGGAGTACAAGGGCCAAACGATGACAGACAGCATGTTGGTTGTAGATGTCAAAAGTCGCTATCCTCTACTGGGTAGAGATTGGATGTTCAAGGTACGGTTTGACTGGAACGAGATATTTTATGGAAGGGTCGAGGAAGAGAAAACCATGCATGCGTTACATGAAGTGTCTGTATCTGCGTTCCAGAGGAAGTACCCAGAGCTCTTTTCGGAGGGGCTTGGGGAGGTCGCAGGAGCACAGGCGCAGGTGGAACTGGAAACCGGGGCGCAGCCACGGTTTTTCAAGAGCCGACCTGTTCCGTTCGCTCTGCGGGACAAGGTGAACAAGGAACTGGAACGCCAGATCAAAGAAGGTGAGCTGTTGCCTGTGGAACGGAGCGACTGGGCAGCACCTTTGGTGTTGGTCAGAAAACCTGGGGGTAACGTACGAATCTGTGCAGATTACAAGGTGACTGTAAATCAGTGTGTAAAAGAGCAAGCTTATCGGCTCCCCACGGCAGAAGAGATATTCAGTACATTAGCTCATGGAGAGTCTTTCTCAAAATTAGATTTAGCCAACGCTTATAAACAGTTGCCACTAGCCCCAGAAAGCCAGGCTGTGTTGACCATGAATACGCCATTGGGGCTGATGAGGCCCACCAGACTTCCGTTTGGGCTCAAGATATCTCCCAACCTGTGGCAGAGGACGATGGATGA